TGGGCTGTCAGAGGCCACAAGCAGCCCCCTGGCAGCCGCCTTGTTCCTGCCAGAGTTGACCTGCAAGACGCATCCTGGGCACTCTGCAACTAACAGCATCAGTGTTGCTGGAAACCCAAATGCAGAGAAATCTCAGACCTTTGGGCCTGTTAGCCAAGGCTTAGAATTAAACACAGGATTTGTTTTGAGGCCTTGGAAAGGGCTCCCAAACTTAGGTGCTAAGAAGAGCGAATGCAGATTTATACTATAAAACAGAGACACCTTAAGCTTACTGGAGGAAAGTTTAGCATTTTAGAGTTTAGGTATAGAAAAAATAAAAGTAGTTGCAACAGCAAACATGAAGTTTAGACTCCAGTGCTGTAGGTTTGTGTGTCAGAACGATTGGCTATGAAAGCTTTCCCTGTAGCATGAGTCCATGAGATGAAATACTGAAGGATCGGGGCAGAAACATACATATCCTTGTTGGCAATGTTTTATTGTCCAATAAATCCTTAAAATGTCTTGTAACTTGAAGTCTTTTAGACCTTCTGAGCCTTGCAGTGAAGATGTGAGCCAAACATGTCCTTCCTGTCTACACAGAAGATAAGAAACAGAAATGGCATCATCTAAAAAATTCAGAGGTCCACTCTCTAACTCATTCCAAACTCCTTCAAATCCCCCAAAGTGTGATTTAGCTACAAATATATGACAAGGACTATTAGTGCTGGCTCTTTGACTCCAGAGCAGCTGCTTTAGAATCTTTCACGTAAGCCTGTGTAGTTAGGTGCCAGAAATGGATCATTTGAAGAAACTTTCCCAACTGACTTGAATAGAGGCTTGTTTGAAGGGTATTTGAGGGGAAACCCTCCCAGCAGAGGTCTGGGCTTTGGCTTGGCTGTGTCTCCTGCTGATTGTGAAGTGTGCCATCAGCTGCAGGGCTTTCTGGACCAAAAATATCATCGAGTCACTTGGACTTGCTCTTTTTGGCCTATAAAAGTGTGGTAGATAGGGACAGGTGATTGGAAGATCACGCAATGTGGCGGAAAGCGGCAGGATTCCTTTTCCCCTAGTTCCTGAGATAAGAGATGACTCTAGGAATGTAACCAGGAATGTAGCCCCCCTAACGATAGTAGTGCTAGTAACTTTCCACTCCTTACTAACCATAGATAGTACTGCAGACCCCCTCTGACGTAGAGAAGCCCCTTAGACTATAAAACCCCACGAGATGAGACAATAAAAGCCTTTGACCGTCTGCCACATTGGTATCTGCGTGCTCTCTGGCCCGAGCGACCTTGGTGAGTTTGGGTCGCCGTGCTGCTCCTCGAAACCAGGTCGCCTTGCCTTATATCAGAAGGCAACATAAAAGCTGGATTTACTTTTGGGGCAAATTAGGAGACCTCACCTCTGAGTGGATGGATGACCTCAGATTTTCCCAGTTGCTGGGAATTGTTTCCCAGGTCCTTGGTGTAAAACAGGGCTGCCCAGCAAGTGCAGATCTGCAAGATGATAAACAATTTAGGTAATTGGTGATGCATCTTTCTAATTCGCTCTCCTTTCTCTCCTTTTGTGAAATACAAAGCTGTGTTTCGTGTCATGTACATACAGGCAACATGTGTATTTGTGATTGTGATATGTGAGGAAACCAACCATGGGACACTTGTAAAGATGAATTCTAATAATAACTGAGGAAAGTAAAGCATGGAAGAAGGCCTTTGAACCTATATTTTGTTCACAATTAACTTTTATAAGTCTTAAGTTGATTTAGGAGCATTTGAATTAAAGCTTTGAGGATGTTCCTTTTTGACAGGAACTTTCTGCTTGTAGCTAAGCCTTAAAGAATTTTGAAATAATAACCTTTCGAAGTATAATTTTGGAATATTGCTTGTACTGTGAAACTATAGCTTTAGAATGTTTAAAAAGGAAACATGCTTATTTTACACCTTGACAAAACAGTGAAATGCAACTTGAGAAAGGAAGATGAACATCAATGCAAGGACTAATAGTTTCGACCAGGGGAAGCTGCACATCACTGTTATGAGATTTATAGTTCTGCAATCAAAAGGTAAAGCCATGTCTGGAATCTAGACCCCACCAGCAGGGAGACTTCTTTCTTTGTTCAGAAGTTGGACCTCCCACCACCTGGGATAATCCTTTACTGGGATACATCCTGAGAAAAACTAAATCAGAATACTGTATAGAATTGTGATGTAAAAATTGGGAAGGGAAACTGCCAATGAGTAAAAATTGGGAATAGAAACTGCTGAGAAAGCTTATGAGTTCCTTCTATAAATACCCATAAGCCACAACTATCAGTGTGCAGTTGGAGGGAAAACTTCCTCCACTGTACCCAGTGCTGTATTGCTCATACTTTACCACATTAATTAATAAATTGATTGCTGCTTGAATATTGACCTAGTCAAACTTTTCATTTATAGCATTATAGTACTGATTTAGGTGCACTACCTTGCTTGTTTTTGCTTGGGGGCTCCATGGGCACCCAGCTCGGGCCCACAGGAGCCTGCAGAAGAGCCCGCGCGGCCTCTGGCTGCAGCAGCGCGCAGGGGCACAGCTGCCCTGCCCACACACTGAGCACCGCCCTCAGGGGCCTTCTCCTGGCTGAGTTGGGGATTCCAGGCCATCCTTACCAGGCACTTGCTGAACTTCCACAGTTTCTGCTCCTTCAGCAGCTTTTTGAGATTCCTCCTCTTCATAAACTTAACTGCATAAAGCAGCGTTTCCCGAGAAGCCTGGAGAGCAGCAGAGACGCGGAGATGGCCCCGCAGCCCAGGGC